CATCCCAACATCCCTCCAAGCAGTAGTGTTATAGAAACCCCCCCCATATCATCCCCTGACCCTCCCACAATGTGACCGAACACCCTCCGTTGGGTGGGAGCAGCCCTGTCTAAGGGTGACAGGGATATCCAGGGATTCATCAGCCCTTCCAATCTTGTCCCACTTTTTTTTACCTTGTGAGAGACCACACTGGCTTTCCAAGGGCTTCCCAGACATGTAGTGACACCTGGAAGGGGCCACCCCATACTCAGCCCACCCTGCAGAAGACACATCTCTTGATGGGTCATCAGGCACAGCTTTGTTAACATCTGCCAGGGCTGTGCTTCACCTGGTAGATGTCTCCTGGAATGGTTGATGGATCTACTGCCCACAGGGGTCCAGCTGTGCTGCCAGTTTTGTCTTTGCAGGGGATGGAGTCTGTTTGTCCTGGCTGGTGGGGGTCACCTGGTGGCACAGCACCGAGCGCATGAACCGCAGGACCGGTGGCCTCAGGATGGCAAAGACCCAAGGGTCAACGATGGAGTTAATGGAGAGAAACCTCAGGGCTAAGAGATCCCACTCGTGGTTGTCATCTGCCTCGCTGAACTTGTTCACGTAGGCACGGATCTGCCAGACACAACAGGGAGAAATAATGTCAGGTCTGAGATTCCAGGTTCTGGTCCTCAGGAAGCTTCTTGAGGAGATCTGGGCTGTCCCAGCACGCTTTCTGCCTGGTTTTAATCACTGGTTTTAATGAACTTCTTGCTAACGAAAGCCAAGCCTGCGCTCTGCTCTCAGCACGCAGCGAGGCTTCGTTTACTTTTAAAGTCATTAAGGCAGTGGCTACTCAAGGAAGTGGTGGGTCTCACCTTGAAAACCCACACAGGACAAATAAATGTCCAAGACGGAGAGGATGCGGGGTGCTGGACCACTCAGCTCCTTCCTACAATGTGCCGACTCATAGCAGCTGACGGGGCTTCCTGGAAGGGTGACTCAGCACTCCTTACTCATACGGGTCGAACCGCCACCCCCTCGCTTTGAAGGGGACATTTGGATGGGGACAGGAGCTGGGGGCATGGGAGGTGTGAGCTTCCCTCCTCCAACCAGGACCCTTCAGGAACCACCCAGGGATGGTGCATCCCATGGGATGAGGTGGCCACGGTGCAGCGGGTACCCAGGGCTGCTGAAAATGCAGCACCTCAAGGGTTGCCCCAGGCTGGGGGGGCTTTTTTAGGAAGGATTTTGTGGTGCTGTGGGCTGATGTTCGCTGGGTTCATGTGCCCAAGTTGCTCCTCAGAGGGTGGTTGCTGTGGGCAGCCCCAACCAGAAGAGAAAGTGTCACACCAAGGAGACACCAGCAGCGTTCAGTAGTTTGGTTTGAGAAGCTGCCAAAACACAGCCCCAACACAACCCCACATGGGAGCCGGGCGATGGGAAAAGAAAAGCTGGCTGTGCTTCTGGATAAGACTATATCTGCTACCACAGGACCCACGGGATCCCACCAGCAGCACTTTCCCAGCCCGTCTGTCCCCAGCAGACCCGTAGGACCCTGCCCATATGTCCCCACCAAGGGGTCCCACTTCCTAACCACCACAGCACCCAACCCCAGGCTTTTTCAGGACATGGGAAGAGCCGCCCATCCCGCGTGGGCCCATTGACGGGAGGTGAAGTGTCTCTCAGGATGTTGAGTCTGCCTCTCGGGATGCTCAGAGTGCCCGGGCGTTACTGTTTTGTCTTTTCTCTGTTTTAAGACCTGGCTGGGCTACAGCCTCTGGTTATTTTCTTCTCCCTTGGGAAAAGAAAAGGAGCACAAAGGGAAGGTCACATCTATTTAACTCCACGAGCACAAAATTAGCGTTGGCTGAGCTCCCAACCTTGGTGAGACTCGCTCCTAATGGGAATAAAGTGATGGGCTCGTGCACACGGGCAGAGGACACGAGTGGCTCCAGGTGCTCCACGATGTTGCTGGTGTAATATGGATGAAAAGCATCTCAGGGGACTTTCCCTCTCCTCTTCCTCACTTGGCTGTGGTGTTTTGACCCCATATTTCTGCTGGAAGCCTCACGCACAGATGAGGCATGGGATGTGGGGACAGCCCTTGGGACAAGGGATGCTGTGGCCCATGTGCTGGATCTCCGTTCCCCGCAATCACCCATCTCCATGTCAGTGTCCTGGTGTTGTTACAGAGCGGTGGGGACTTCCATCTCCAGATCTCTGTGCTCCAGCTCCAGAAATGTGGGGTAACTGCCCACCCAGCAGTGACACCCGCTGTCTCCAGCCCAGCCCAGTGGCATCTCCTTCATCCTCATCTTCGGATGTCTAATTTCTTGCTCTGCCACCCCTCACACCTGCACCATGAGTCCCTGTCTCCTGAAACGTGTGGCCCAGGGGACCCCAAATCCTGCCTGGGCCACACTGCCTGGTCTTGGAACTTCTGAGGGATGGGGGAACATCTCTGCTCCTGCCACCCCATCCTCTTCAGGATACAGGGGCAGATTCTCATGGTTCCCCGTACTTAAAGAGTTTGTGGCAAACCTGGGGTCTGCTGAGCTTCAGGAGGAGCAAAGCATTGACCTCAGCCCTTGAGATTTGGGCAGAAAGTGGGGGGACCCTTATATAGGGAGGGAGAAAAATGGGGGTGCTGAAGAGAGGGACCCTCCCCCAGGGGAGAGGTGATTGCACTTACCGTGAATGGCAGGGAGCAGATGACAAAGGTGATGGTCATGATGGAGAGGAGAAGGAGATGGTCAATCTCCTCGGCCATGGAGAACATGCGTCGGCCGCAGCCACCGGTTGCCCGGGGCTGCTCGAGAGTGGCCAACCGACGGGTCTTCTGCCCGCGACGGTGCATGCGGATCAGGTTGGCAATGACACTGAGGTTACAGAGCAGCACGGAGAGGATGAGGAAGAGGAGCAAGGTGGCGTAGAGCAGCGAGAAGGTGACGTCCAACCCGGACACCTCCCTGCTGCCGTTGTGCTGGAGGTAATCCAGGTGCATTTGGATGAAGCACCATGTCCCGGGGCAATACTGCACGTACCGCCCGAAGCCCACCAAGGGCAAGGAGCAGAAGGCTGCTGAGAAGGTGTAGATGGCAGGGAGGGCAACCAAACCCGTGCGGGGACTGAGGAAGCGCTCGTAGAAGTAGGGCCAGCCCAGGGCCAGGCATCTCTCCAGCGCCATGGCGAAGAGGATGAGCATGGTGGCGAGACC